AGCTCAATAACTTTAAGAACACATTTTAAAAAGGAAACCTTTAAACTACTGAAATTTAGTGCAAATTTCATGAACACATTAATTAAATTAGCAAGAATATATCATACTACTGAAATTTATAGGAAAAGTTTGAAAACTGTATTACTGTAACCAGAGTTTTAAATATACCCTAATCAGAGAAATAAATGTCTCATTATTTCTTAACAGAATAGTACAATGTATCATAAGATATGTAAAATAAAAAAATATTGAAAATTAATCTTTACAGCTGATTGAGAAATTTTTATTTATAGAAAGAAGCTCAAATGAGAAAATTTTTTGTGTTTCACTGAGCAATGACATTTTATCAAGAAGGCTTGATGAGATTGTGAAAAGTATTGAAAATCAGCTGTGTAATGAATGGCAGTTGAGCAAATTTTCATACAATGGGTAAAAGTATCTTATGTGAAAATGAATCATTACAGCTCATATATATGTAGGGTTTGTAAAGAGTAAAAAAATCATGAAGACAATGTACCTTTCAAAATTACTGAGAATGGCCACCCAGAGATTCTCAACTAACCAAGCCCTTAAAAATATGTCATGTGAAAACATCAGCTTCCCAAATATCACTGCTTCAATAGCAGCAGGGTCTATAATGGGGGTTTAAAGCTGACATTAATGCCTGGAGGTGCTTTCATAATTCATTATGTTTTTTACTGACCTCAGGGATGCTAAGGAAATACTTCAAAGTCAATAAATGTATTCATTGTTACTAATAAAATTAAGAGTAAGCTGCAACTGGTAACAAAGAGAGTTTGTACTAGGAAGTAAGGTGACTTTTCAGTGTAGTCTTAATTTTTTTTCTTATTTAAAATAAATTTTTGATTAAGCATCACAATTCAAATATCTGAAAATATGACTTTTCCTGCAGATGTATTTGCCACGTTAAATGGGATCTTTTACAGGATGCTAGAAATTAAGATCCGTCTCAGAGTGCACAGAATTACCATAGGATTTGTCAACAAACATGTATTATTTAAGATTATTTTTTGCATCCAACATTTTTACAGCTTTTATCTTTACAGAAGTTAGATCAATACAAATAAGTTGCTCTCATTTGAATGGCTACTAAAGAGAGGATGATTAGATTTTAAAGAATTTGGTTTAATTTACAAAACTGGATTGAGTAGTTAATCCATTTGAAGCAGATGAAGAACATGTTAGCCAAAATTTTCAGAAAATTTTAACTGAACTAAAATCCAATGTTGGGGCCAAAGCACTTTAATCAATCTAATTATGAAAGACTTAGGATGCTGCTAAAACTTATATACACTTCTTTGGAAGCAAATTATTCTAGATTTCTAATAACATATTGGGTTGAAGTGGCTACAGCCCTGTAGTATAATTCTGGCAAAAGTGTTACTGCCAATGTCTATAGAATGGAGCAAACATGAGATTCCTTTTAACATACTTTGAACAACTTCAGCAGTTTAGATAAAATTCAGGGTTTCACTGAATTTCATTAATAAAGATTGTTTTAAAATTATACATGTGTAATTTTTTAATGCAGAAATAAATTTAGGTTATAGAAATTATTGAAATGCTGTATCTTGGTTATAGAGATTACATATTGAAACAAATTAAGAATATTCCTAACTGTTCATTTTATCCTGCTACTACCCTCAAAGGTTTACCAGTTTATGTAGCAACACTGCCACAGAAATATAATGCAAGCCACAAATGTGAGCAATATCTATATTTAAAAAGTTTTAGTAGCCACATTATAAGAAGTAAAAACGCTGGGGAATCTAATTTTAATTATATATTTAACATACTACACCTGCCAATTATTATTTCAACCTATAATCAATGTAAACATTATGGAGATACTTTATACTGACTTAGTTTTTAATATAAGCCTAATTTAAATAAATAACATCAAAATTAAGTTCTTCAGTAACACTGACCACTGACCCCTATTTCAAGGGCTCTGTAACCACTCAGGGCTATTGGTTACCATACTGGACATCACTGGTGTATAGATTTAGTTATTACTATTATTAATTTTCTTACTAACAATGAACAACTATTAGCCTAACATAAGTTCTTATTTTAGTGTCCACACAAATCCCTGTTCTTCTGTTTCCCTGCACTTATTATATTAAACTCTTTAAGTCCAAACTTGCTGTAAGGAGGTACAAGAATGTAAGTACTTAATTAGGTACTTATATTGCAGCCAATTATTTTACTGTACATCATGTTTTCTTTACAGTTAAAGCATTATTTTGATTCAGGAGAATCAACATAACATGATTTTGCATCAATAACGTGTGACTTTGAATTATGCTAATGAGTGGTTTTAGGTTATGTTTTCTATAAATGTCTTGGCAATAAAGGAACTTTAGAAAATACTTATTATATGGCTAAAACCACCAATCTACATGAAAACAATAAAGGTGGTTTTCTTCTGTATGTGGCAGGAAGAACAAGACAAGTTTTATTGGGTTTTAATGAGAGAATTGTACTGATTGACTTCCAGACTTGTTAAACTACTACATCAGTGCAAATCTGAGCGCAGCTATTACACTGACATTCTTTATTCAATTCTTCTCTCTCTCTCTCTCCTCTTGTCATCATTTCTGTCCATCTCACATTTTTTCTGAGCACATCAGATATGGGTCTTCTAATTAAGTGGTCTAAAACATGAAGTGAGAAAAACTTCAAATACTGAGAAAAAAACATAAGAAAATGGATTAATGATAGTATTGAAAATGAAAAGAGAAGAAAAACTATATTCAAGAACTTACCATGTCTGAGTTACTGTGCTGAGGACTTAACATATATTGGTTGACATATATCAAAGCACTCTTTGAAGAAAGTACAATTGTTTCTCTCCTTTTAGGATTGAGGAAGTTGATATTTGTCTTAGGTCAGATCAGTAGTGAATAGCTAAGTTGAGAATCACACTCAGATCTTCAGTGCCTTAATTCTTTGACCCTAAGCACTGATACACAACCTCACAAAGAAACAGAAACGGGCTTTTAACAGATGGATGGATGCTGCACCCTAACACATCTGTGTAGGGTTGGAAGGGAAGATTATTACAATTGCATGTTGTGTAGTTTTTACTCTAGTCCTTTATTTTTAATTTAATAAACCATTGCTGGCAGCACTCAAATGAACAACACAGAGGCTTTTATCTCACTGCCCCATGACCAAAAGATTATATGTTGTTTCACTATCTATCTGGTTGTACAATATTAGGTTTGTGTTAGTCATACGGCTGTTGCTAAATAGAGACTCCCCAGAACTGTCCAAGTTCATATTGGCTCCAATCATTCTACTGCCTTGTGGAGTGTTAGAGCATGACAGGGCTGTAGTTACATCTCAAAGACAAAGGACCTCACTATTTTCAGATCACACGCACCAATTACACTGGTCCTACAGAAATTGCCATTCTTGTGTCCCTTTGCTCTTACTACATGGAGCCATTTACCTGTTAGTCTTTATGACTTACTCATAAATTTCTAAGTTAAATATTTTTTCTCTTTAGATCGCCTGGATCAGTTTCATTGACAGAAGCAAAGATGTTAGCAGTATTAATTTCCTTAAAATGTTTTCTTTACAGTAGAGAACACTCCTGTTCTTGAGGGGACTAATTTTTCTAGGCTATTTTTTGTTGTTTTTTATTTTAAAAGATAGGCATTGTATTCTTACTTGGAAGGATTTTTCTAAGATATCTTTGATAGAAATTTTAAGGTATATTTTACCCATCATCACCTTGACACATGTAGAGTACTGATGTTTAGGAAGTGGCTGAAAAGTTAGCTTTAAAATACTGAGGGGAAAATAATATTAACAGTTTTAAAATCTTTAAATGTTTTCAATTACATCTATTAAACATATTAACATATTTTATTCAAGTAGTAAACAGACAAACCTAATATTTTTAGCAAACAATTTAACCTCAGTCTTCGTATTTGTGAAAAAGGAATGATTATTAAAATAAGAGTTTCTCAGCATTGTAATAAAAGATCAAAAGAAATAATATAAGAAATTTAGTTTGCACATGAAATTTGCATATATTTTTATTTCATAAATATTTTTGATGATCGGCATAATTAATTTGAGTTCTGGTTAAAGACTGTTTTTGATAATATTCATACCAGCAGACAACAAATCCCCCCTATAAATTTACTGCTATTAGTTCAGATATTTTTTTTATCTGTGAAGACATTTTCACCTGGTCTTCAAACTAACAAAAAAGAGATACTCTGCACGAGCAAGAAAGATTTGTGCAAGGTTAGAAAATGTATTGTCAGTTGTGCTAAAATCTTACTCTCATTTTTACTTATGAAAAGTTTTTATTTTCTAATTACTTCTCTCACAGTGGTTTTAACATCAGCTCCTTATCCAAATACATTATGTTAATTTTATAAACTAGGTGAGTTATAACAATGTATTATGGTGGTGGTACCTGGGTGGCTCTTTGTTAAGTGTCTGCCTTCGGCTCAGGTCATGATCCCAAGGTCCTGGGATCCAGCCCCGCATCAGGCTCCCTGCTCCAAGGGAAGCCTGCTTCTCCCTCTCCCACTCCCCCTGCTTGTGTTCCCTCTCTCGCTGTGTCTCTCTCTGTCAAATAAATAAATAAAATCTTACAAAAAATATTATGGTAAGGAATAAAATGATTTAATTGAAATTCTGTTGTGTATAAGTCAGCTATTACTGTAATAATGCTGTATAACAAACCACTCTGGTTTAAAGATAAAAACTTAATTATCATACTCATGAGTCAAGGATAGACAACATTATCGCTTGTGTAGGTGTATTCCAGAAGTGAGGGTTCCGGATCCCAACTTTAGACTATAGACTAGGTTCAGGTCGTTTCCTCATGATGCTTAATTTTCTGGCTCTGGCAATTACCCAGTGCATGTGGCTATCTCCGTGTATCCTGTTCTGTGATCCAGCTTGAAAGAAAATGGCTTGCTAAAGGCATTTTTTCCATGGTTCATCATCAGGGTTATGGAAGGCAAACCAAATTCCACAACCACATTTCAAGCCTCTACTTATATGTCTTCCACTAACATCCCATTGGCCAAAGGAATTCCGTGCTCAAGTCAAATGTCAAGATGAAGCAAATGGACTTTACCCATAAGGAAGCTATATCATGGAATAATTATATCATAGAAATGTGAAGAATGGAAAACACTATCATCGAAGATAAATATCATCTAAGGTAAGGTAAGAGATGTATTGAATGAGATGTACACATTAAGGTACAAGCAAAAGATGATTTTTTTTCCCCTTCAGGTCTTGTGATTTCCATATGTAGAAACCTTTTTCCTGGCTCTGGGGAAATATCAGATATATCCCACACTTTTTTGGTCAACATGAGATACTAAAACAGGAAACTTAACCCTTTATATAATTCAAATCTTTCTCCCTCCTTAATAGGGAAAACCTATCTTGAACTTAGTCTGCCACATAAGGAGGAGGTGTTGTTTGACATCTCTCTTTCTTGCCCAGTTTCTCTTACTTGCTGGCTGCCTTTTCTTTTTTTTTTTTTTTTTGATGGAGTTGGGGACTCTTTCAGGATTGAAGGAAGTTGTTAAGAAGTGAGCAGCCAGAAAACATCTTAAAATAACTAATATGGTAGTAATATGGCATCAGATTCTTTTGTGAGGCAAATGCAGATTTTCCTGCTCTTTTTATTGAGAGATTTTAGTGTATTTATTTTTTAGAGTTCTTTTCTTATGACTTTCTGTATTTCTTTGGTTCCAGCCAGCAACAGCCCCCTCTTTGATAGATATTTTAGGGTGGTTGGTTCAACAACCATTCCCCTGCTTTCTAGTATGCAGAAACTTAAAAAAAAGCTAAAATGACTTTACCTCAGCTGTCTTGCTTCTCATGCTCTGAATATGATTCAGGTTCCAGCAGTCAGAAATGTCATACAAAAAATGAAGAGAATGACAGGTCTAATGACATTCATTTTAATTATGCGGCTTCTCCCAGAGGCTATTGAACAGCATTTTCTGAGATAAAGTGACTATGTGTTCCTCAAATTCTTTGTGTTATGCTACGTTATTGAAGTAAGGGCAACATACACAGAGACAGGAGAAAATTACACATGAAGGCCTTCCAAGAATACCTGGCAAACTGAGCCCAAGAGAAAGAAGGTGGGGTGAATGGTCTGTTCCAGGAGAAAGTGCCAGTTGCTGCACTTAGGACTGTGTCAGTGTACATGGCCTTCAGATGTTATTTGGTATGAAAGATTAATAAACTGGGGAAAATTCTTATAAACCAATGCAATTTTTATACTAGATTTTTCTTATCTCCTAATTTAACACTCACATATAAGCTAATTTGTATAATGGAAATGCACATGTTAGCAGAGAGTACATTGTGGCCGCTTCCCAGTTTGACAGGCAGCCTTCTGATCTTGGCCAGAGTAGCAGTTGGAGGTCTAATTCTTTGAGGTGGCTTTTGGTTTGCTCCTACCAGCTCAGATTCAGTGCTCATCAGCCTTTCCAAAAATTCTTCTAAGCCACTTAACACCCTGCAATAAATCCCTTTTTGTTTAAACAGCTTAGAATGGATTCTTCTTTCTTGTACTAAATGCAGATGGAGAGAGTGAACATTACCTGGAGATGTTGGAGGTCAGAGATTCTCAAGAAAATAGGAGGCCGAGATGGCTAAAACTGATCTAGTAGGGTTTTACAATAGTAAATATCCTTCTAGATTCAAGAATTTAAGGTCAGAGAGTGATGCAATCGTTGTTTATGGCACATAGCTGTGAATGATTTCCTTATATTCCTGGCTGGAATCATCTGGAATGAAGTGCTCATTAAGTAATATGAAGACTGTGTGTTGGATTGGGTGGATATTTTTAGCTCCTGTAGAGGACTTAGGAAAAAAAAAAATGACAAGCCTAAAACTTTAAAAATTTCTGCTCATTGAATTATCAGAAGATAAGAGATCTTCTATCCCTGTGATAGAATCTTATCCTTGAAGGCTTATGTTAACATGAAATACCAGAAACAGAGTCTAATCCTCTGGGTTGCTGAATTCCAAAGGAAGTTGAATTCATAGCCTCCCTAAATGTCTTATTTAGATTTAGGGTATCTATGGAAAAAGAATATGACTGTAAGAATTGAAATGAGGAACTTTGGTAGATGCAGATATTTCTTAGTACCGGCCGTCAAAAGTCCAGTGAGCCTTTCTTGACAGCAGAGGCAACTGCTCCCTGTCTGATGAAGTTGCTTCTGTCTTATCTGGAATTGTCACTTGAGGCTGTTGACACACAAAGAGACACCACACAGTTTGTTCTTTAATGTATCTGTCTTGTTACTCAACGTAATATTGTTGAGAATCATCTATATTGTTGCATGAAGTAATACTTTTCCCCTTTTTTGTCTATTAAATGAATATACTACACTGCTTATCCATTTTCCTATTGACATTTTGGGCTGTTTTCAGTTTGCAGAAATATGAATAAAGCTGCTGTGAACATCCTTTTGAGGTCTTCTGGTTCATGCTTTCTTTTCTCTTGTATAAGTTTCTAGGAGTGAAACTGCTTGGTCAAACAATAGATGTTTAACTGCTAGAGTTTTACAAAGCGGTTGTATGGATTATAGTGGTTTAAAAGTCTGGTTGCTCCAAATCCTTGCCAACAGTTGGTGTTGTCAGTCTTTTTAATTTTAGCCATTTTACTAGATCTGAAGTAGCATCTCCTGTGTTTTTAACTGATTGCCCCGATTTCTAATGATGTTGAGAATGTTTCATATGCTTACTAGCTATTTTTATATGTTCTTTTCTGAAATGTCCATTCAAGGTTTTGCCCCATGTATTTTTTTTGTGGATTTTTAAAAATTTTATTATGTTATATTAATCACCATACATTACATCATTAGTTTTTGATGTAGTGTTCCATGATTCATTGTTTGAGTATAACACCCAGTGCTCCATGCGGAACGTGCCCTCTTTAATACCCATCACCGGGCTAACCCATCCCCCACCCCCCTCCCCTCTAAAACCCTCAGTTTGTTTCTCAGAGTCCATAGTCTCTCATGGTTCGTCTCCCCCACTGATTCCCCCCCTTCATTTCTCCCTTCCTGCTATCTTCTTCTTCTTCTTTTTTTTTCTTAACATATAATGTGTTATTTGTTTCAGAGGTACAGGTCTGTGATTCAACAGTTTTTTTTTTAATTTTATTATGTTAATCACCATACAATACATCATTAGTTTTTGATGTGGTGATCCATGATCCATTGTTTTTGTATAACACCCAGTGCTCCATGCAGTACGTGCCCTCCTTAATACCCATCACCGGGCTAACCCATCCCCTCTTCCCCCTCCCCTGTTTGTTTCTCAGAGTCCATAGTCTTTCATGGTTCATCTCTGATTCCCCCCACCCTTCATTTTTCCCTTCCTTCTCCTAATGTCCTCCATTCTATTCCTTATGTTCCACAAATAAGTGAAACCATATAACTGACTTTCTCTGCTTGACTTATTTCACTTAGCATAATCTCCTCCAGTCCCATCCATGTTGATGTAGAAGTTGGGTATTCATCCTTTCTGATGGCTGAGTAATATTCCATGGTATATCTGGACCACATCTTCTTTATCCATTCATCTGTTGAAGGGCATCTCGGCTCTTTCCACAGTTTAGCTATTGCAGACATTGCTGCTATGAACACTGGGGAGCATATGGCCCTTCTTTTCACTACATCTGTGTCTTTGGGATAAATACCCAGAAGTGCAATTGCTGGATCATAGGGTAGCTCTATTTTTAAATTTTTGAGGAACCTCCACACTGTTTTCCAAAGTGGCTATACCAACTTGCATTCCCACCAACAGTGGAAGAGGGTTCCCCTTTCTCCACAACCTCTCCAACATTTGTTGTTTCTTTCTCTGTCCATTTTTGCCATTCTAACTGGTGTAAGGTGGTATCTCAATGTGGTTTTGATTTGAATTTCCCTGATGGCTAATGATGATTAACATTTTTTCATGTGTCTGTTAGCCATTTGTATGTCTTCTTCAGAGAAGTGTCTTTTCATATCTTCTGCCCATTTTTTGACTTGATTATTTGTTTTTTGGGTGTTGAGTTTGAGAAGTCCCAACCCAGTTTTTGTTCACTGGCTTTTGGAGATGTATCTTGAAAGAAGTTGCTGTGGCCGATGTCTCCTGCCACATTACTGAATTGCTGTATGAGTTCGAGGAATTTCGGGGTGGAGTCTTTTGGATTTTCCACATAAAGTATCATGTCATTGTAATTTGCCAAATGTTCTTTTAGTTTTTTGCATGAAATATTTTATCCTTAATTCCACAGACTATAGCCCTACCTATGTTCTCTAGGATTTTGATGGATTCCAATTTTCCCAGCACCATTTATTGAAGAGACTGTCTTTTTTCCATTGCATGTTTTTTTTTCCTGCTTTGTCAAAGATTATTTGACCATAGAGTTGAGGGTCCATCTCTGGGTTCTCTATTCTGTTCCATTGGTCTATATGTCTGTTTTGGTGCCAGTACCATGCTGTCTTGGTGATCACAGCTTTGTAATATAGCTTGAAATTGGGCAACGTGATGCCCCCAGCTTTGTTTTTCTTTTTCAACATTTCCTTGGCGATTCGGTATCTTTTCTGATTTCATACAAATTTTAGGATTGTTTGTTCCAGCACTTTGAAAAATGTCATTGGAATTTTGATCGGGATGGCACTGAAGGTATAGATTGCTCTGGGTAGCATAGACATTTTAACAATGTTTATTCTTCTGATCCATGAGCATGGAATATTTTTCCATCTTTTTGTGTCTTCTTCAATTTCTATTTTTCCATCTTTTTGTGTTGTCTTCAATTTCTTTCATGAGTGTTCTGTAGTTCCTAGAGTATAGATCCTTTACCTCTTTGGTTAGGTTTATTCCGAGGTATCTTATGGTTTTTGCTGCTATTGTGAATAGAATCGTTTCTCTAATTTCTTTCTACAGTTGCATTGTTAATGTATAAGAAAGCAACTGATTTCTGTGCATTGGTTTTTATCCTGCCACATTACTGAATTGCTGTATGAGTTCTAGTAATTTGGGAGTGGAGTCTTTTGGGTTTTCCACATAAAGTATCATGTCATCTGCGAAAAGAGAGAGTTTAACTTCTTCTTTGCCAATTTGAATACCTTTTATTTCTTTTTGTTGTCTGATTGCTGTGCTAGGACTTCTAGTACTATGTTGAACAATAGTGGCGAGAGT